GCATGTGTTTTGTGGATGCCATTTGTTTCCTATGTTGTTATTGTATCATGTTCCTTAGGCCTCTATTTTTTATCTGTGTCTGCTTTAGATTTATTAATCATGTTTTGCACTATGGGTTCAATCTCTGCTGTGATCTGAGAGATTCACTGTGATTTCATTTTTTCCAGATCTTCTTTTGTTGCCAGTTCAGGGAGTCCAGGTGTTTGACTATCAGATTGTTCCATGTCACTTCACTTTTGGGTTGACTTAAGTGATCTGGAAGTCTGGGTTTGAGACTTGTTTATGTGTTTTGTCATTTCACCAGATGTAGCCTGATGTCCCTTTGTTGAGGCAACGTTTTGCTCACCCAGTGGTCTTGAATTCTCAGCAAGCCACTGAGCAGCCTTTTCTCTTCTGCTCACCAATACACTAATTCCTGGGTTCAGAATGGTGACCTTCTGGATGTCTGAGTTGTTGTCTGGGAGGGCTTCTTGCTTGGGCAAGTGAACCCTTAGGATTGTATCTAGGAGTGCCACTGGCTATGGCTCCTATGTACCTGTTGTCTGGGAGGGTCTCTGGCTGGGGCTTGTGAACCTCAGTTCCTGTAGTTTGAGCAAGATTCTAGCTAGGGTGTTCAATACTTAATGATGGTATGGGAGTGAGCCTCTGGCTGCTGCCTGTGAACCTGGGAAGCTCTTTTCCAGGCAGGCCCTTGGCTTTGGCCTGTGTGTCCAACCCACTGGGGTTGGGACAGTGCTCTGGCTGAGACCTGCCTTTAGCCATGCAGCTCTGGTCCACACCGCTGCTGCCTGGGATCTGCATGCACTTACCCATGATATGGGGTGGGCCTCTGGCTGAGGCTTGTGTGCCTGTGTACCTCTTTTCTGGGTGGGCCTTTGGCTTGGGCCAGTGTGACCACGCCTTGGGGTGGTGCAGAGCCCTTGCTGGGATTTGCCTGCAGCAGTGCCACTCTGTTCCAACTGCCGTCCTCCAGGTTCTTCATGCATTTACTGATGCTATGGGGTGGGCCTCTCTATTTCAAATCTTTCTATCTTTCCTGTGGGCAGAGAGCAGGTCTACATTTCTTTTTTATTACTGGTTTCTCTGCATCCCATAAATATGTGTATGTTGTGTCTCCTTTCTAGAAATGTCTTTTTTTTTTTTTTGGTACTGAGGATCGAACTCAGGTCCTTGCGTTTGCACAGCAGGTGGCAAAACCACTGAGCTAAATCCCTAGCCCTGTGTCTCCATTCTAAATTCATTTGGGAAACATTTTATTTCCCTTTTTAGTTTTTTGACAATTAATTGTTCATTCAAAATTATATTTTTCATGATTTATGTTATTGCATCATTTCTAAAATATTGTTTTTGTGTTCTAGTTCCATTCCACTGGGATAAGAAAGGGTACAAGGAAAGATTCCAATTCTTTTTGGATTGCCTACCGCTTCTGTATCTGACTAGAAATCTTCTTCTGGATAAGCTTCCATGAACAGATGTAAAGTAGTTTTATGCAGCTCTTGGAGAGAAAGTTCTGTAAATGCCTGTTAACATTCTTGGATCTGCAGTAGAGTTGAACTCTCATGCTTCTCCGTAGACTTCTTGTTCATATGATCTGTCCTTTGAGGGAAGGATGGTGGGAAAGTTTCCAGATTGGATAAGCTATTTCATAGCTGATCAGTTTTTGTAGTTGTACAATTTGAGTGTTCTATGAAATCTGGTGCCCTGACACTTGGTGCACATGAATTCATAAGCACTATGTTCATAGTCAGCTGATTTGTGGAACATTATAGAGTGGCTTTTTTCTCCTCTTGCAATGTTCATCTTGAAATCCACTTTGTCTGAAAGAAATATAGTGATTGCTCACTTTTCATTGCTATTTGGAATCCTATTTTATACTCGTTCACATTCAGTCAAGAGTGTTTTTATTGGTGAGGTGAATTTCTTGTAGACAAAGTGTAAATGAAATCTTTCAAACACTAGTATATTCTGGTCAAATGATGTCTATCCTAATTCTGACTACTATATTAGGTGGACAGTTGTTCAAAGATTATGATAAACAAAGAGACAGACCTTAATGTCCTGTCCTACGTCTTAGGTCACATCATGCTGCCTCTTCTGTGAAATCCCTTCAGGTGTGGACAAAGAATGGTGGGGCATGGTGAGAAGGAAGAATTGGGCAACAATAAGATAGAGGGAAGGAGAGAAATAGGCTCCGGTGAGAAGGGGCCCACGAATACATTTGTGTCCCAAGAAAGCAGGTTCAACTATGCTGGAAATATTAGGGATGCTTCAGAATGGACAACTTGCTATCACTTGCTGTATGTATTGTTTCCTGAAATTTTCACAAATATTAATTTATATTCTGAAATTTTAAATTAATTTATATTCTATATTATATTTCTTTAACTTGCAGTTTTTTCCACAAAGTCCAAGAAAGTACTAGGATAGTACCTGAAAGTGAAAGAATGACCCTACCTTTCTAACTGAGAGCTGGCTTTGGCAAAATGTAGGAAAACATCCTTGAGAGAGAGAGAGACAGGTGGAAATCAGAAATGGATGCTGATTATTTTATTAGAATATCGATGATGCAGTTATGACTGCGTTCTTCCAATGGGGTCATGTTCTGATGGACGTCACCTTGTTATTCAGTCTGTGAAAACAACAAAGCAAGAAGGTTACAGAGGAGAAGTGACAGACAGGGCAAGAGGCTCCCAATATCTAGCTGCCCTCACAGAAGTGGGGCAGGTGAGACCCAGACATCTCTCCCTCTGACCTTGTCCTTCCCTTGTCCTTCCTAATTAATGCTTGTCAGTTCTTCTTAGGCACCGAGAAGATAATGTGCTCTAAATCGTTCTTTGTGAAATGAAGAAACAAAGATGATTCTTAAACTGTTTATCTTTTAATTGCTACAGAAATTTATCAAAGGTGTATTTACAAAGAGGATCAGTGCATCATCCTAATACCAGCAATGAAATTTCAACCAATCAAAGTGTTAACTAACAGGATTGGATTGATTCAAAATTATGGTATAATTACACAGTCAAATACTATAAAATTTTTTAAATATAGTAAGGAAGATTGATGGCAAAGGAGGAGAAAGGAAGAGAGGAGGAAAAGAAAAATAAAGATGGAAAGAGGGATGGCTGGAAGACAAATGCAGAAAGAGAATGGTAGAAAGGAAAGGAAAAAGTGGAGGAGGGAAAGAGGGCTAAAGTAAGGAAGGAAAGAGAAAGACAATAGAAAGATCTGAATAACTCTGTGAGCTGACTTAGATGTTTTCTACAAAATATGTTATGCCCAGTGGGCCACGCAGATCCTTTGTGGAATTGTTTTTAGGCCAGAATATCAGCATGACTTGCTTATGTGTGTACAACTGTTTCAAAGAAGATGTGTGCAGGAAGTGATGATGCTGTGGGCTGGGGCTGTGGGAGGTGGGATAAGACCAGCCTACCAGATTTGGCTTCATCCCCTTCTCTTCCAGGACCTTCTTTTCCATCTTGGGCATGGATCCCATTCATGGTAAGGATGTTCAAGTCAAGGTGGCATATAAGAGCACAGACGTGAATGTGACTGAGCAGGAGCACTGGCACTGCCAGTTGTGGTGTGAGATGGAACTGAGCTAAGCGTGGTCAGGTGGAAATGTGACATTGGAAGTCACTGGCTCTGAGAAGGAGGCAGAGGACCAAGGGGAGAACATGGCACAGCTTGCTCTAAAGAATGCCCCTAATCATTTGGCAAAAGGCAATTCTGGGGGCATCATTCCTGAAAATCACTACTATCATGGGAGGTTTGTAAAAAGAAATGGTCTTGGCACACTAACCCAGAAAATCTGAATGGTAACACTGAAAATTGGGCTTCACTGACCACATCACCTGAACTACATGACAGATGAATGGCTGTCACCCTGCACTTTAGTAAGTATAGGACTTAGGACCAGTGTTGAAGAGAGGGCTTAAATCCCACCTGGAACTGCAATGAGATCATTGAGCTCAATCCCTGGGATATTCTGGGTGGTTTATCCCTTTAGGGAAGTGGGGAGCAAAGTGGGGCCTTCCAGGATGCCATGAGGAAAATACAGCTGCTTACCTTCTTCCTGGGGTGGACCTTGCTGGTTTCCAGTATCAGGAGGACGATTAGGCTGCTGTGGGCCTCCTGGTAAGGGTGGACCTTGCTTATATAAGGAATGAGGGGGGCGATTCTGGGGGCCTTCAGGTGGGGGTGGACTCTGTGGTTTTCCAGGAGGAAGAGGAGGAGGAGGAAGACCATTGGGCTGCTGTGGCCCTGGTCGGGGTGGACCTTGCTTATTTATGGAATGAGGGGAGTGATTCTGTGGGCCTCCTTGTTGGGGTGGGCCCTGCTGGTTTCCAGGAGGAGGAGGACCACTGAGCTGTTATTGACCTCCTGGTGGGGGTGAACCTTGCTTATTTAAGGAACAAAGGGGGCGATTCTGTGGGCCTTCTTGTTGGGGTGGGCCTTCTTGTTGGTGTGGGCCCTGCTGGTTTCCAGGAGGAGAAGGACCATTGGGCTGCTGCTGACCTCTTGTTTGAGGTGGACCTTGCCTATATAAGGAATGAGAGTGATGTTTCTGTTTCTTGACTCCATGTTCCGGTGTTCCCTGATCTTGTCCAGGAGGAGGAGTTGGAGGAGGCTTCAGATGACCTCTATGATGGGGTGGTCTTGGATATGGTCCAGGGAGAGGAAGCCGAGGATTTCGCTGGGGTGGTTTCTTCTGTATGCAATCATCCTCATCTTTGGAATCACTTTCATCTTTATGATTAACTTCATCTTCTCTTTTGCTTCCATCTTCAACGTCATCATCTACTGGAGTCTCATGTGCCAAATCAAAGCCTTAGCATTGGTCCTCAAACTCTGTGTAGTCATAGCAAAGGATAGATGAGATCAGTGGTAGAAGACTCTCCTTGTCTTTAACTGTCTGACATTTTCACAGGCTCCCCTTCCAGGCTAGCCTCTTGACTCCTTTCCTCTCACCCATTGCCTTTCCACAGAGAGCTTCTCTAAACCCATGCACTAAACACAGCCAACATGTGCAAAACCTCATCTACTGGCACCTAAGAGTACAACTTTCTGCATTTGCAAAAAAAAGACAAGTTGGACACCTGGAGTTCACCAAGGACATGGCTAAGACAGATAAGAAGCAAAGGGGAAGGATTATCATGTATATTGCCAGTTGTATTAATGGAGACAGTATTGTAATAACTGTCTCCCTGTGAACCCAATCCAGGACACCTCAGTCCTATGTGGAAATTAAGCTAGGTGCTGAGCGAGAGCCCTGGACTAATGTGGAGAAAAACCTCAGAGATAGAAGAGACAGAAAATGATGATTCATATAGGATCCTTTCATAAGTGGTGGCCATGTATTCATCATCTACAAGGACAGAGCTGAGTGGAGAAACATAGAAGCAAATGAGATAGTCCCATATTTCTGGGCATTTTACAGATAGCCATAGGAGTCTGAGAAGGAACATAGGCAAGGAAGCAACCAGGGAGTGACTCTCCGCTCCATAGAGGAGCTGAAGAGCAAAATCAGGAAGCATCGTGTGTCAGGAGTCACTTCTTTGTGAGGACACAGGGAGCCTCCTCCTGGTGTCACTAGAGCTGGTCCTCCCTGTTACTGAAATGGTGAACCAGCTCATGGTTCTCAGAATGGCAGATTGGGAGCATTTGTCTGTATCTCTAAGGGAAGTGTGATAATCAGTAATGCCCAAAATGAAATATTAACCTAATAAGACATTGCAGGATGGCAAAATACCTGAGGAAAGGAAGGAATAGAAGGTTGACTGAGGATGAATGGGCCTTTACCTGACACTAGGGAGGAAGAGTCTTCCCAGGTGACCCCTAGGAAAAAAAGCACAGATGAAGTGAAAATTTTGCTGTCATTCTTTGAGGGCTCACAGTTGCCCTACAAGGAAAGGTCATTTACAGTGCCAACAAGAACATCCCCAAGTGAACCCTCTGTAGTCCTCAGCCACTCTCTGTGCTCATCTCCTTGCAAAGGGAAGGAGGTCTAAGGGATTGCAGCGCAGCTGCTAGGCTGAGTCTCAACCACTTCTCACCAAACATTGTCAGTCCTCCTTTGGTCCTCCCTAGAATCCCTCAAACCTCACTGCTTCTTCTTGTCAAGTATTCCAGTTATTTTGATATCATATTTCTTGTTGCTTTGCCCTCATCCTTCATTAAATCCTTTGCTTAAGTCAATGTCCTGCCTCAAGAAGGGAAACTAGCCTTATGCAGTTGTGGACAGAGTTACACAACTCCTCCCTGCACACTGAAATATTGCATGTGGTGGAAAGAAAACTAGGAAAATGATCCCCGATGTTTCTTCATCACTGCACCAATAGTGAAGTCTGTTATCCAGTTCAGTGTCTCTCATATGGCTCTTCTGTGTGTTCATCTCTGTTGTGAGCCCTTAATTCCCTTGGCTGAAAGGCTCCCAGCACCCCACCCAGATTTAGGTCATATCCTTACAGCTGGGGTCCCCAGGATGGATCCTCCCATCATCCCGCCCATCCTTCACAGCACAGAGAGCTCTATCGACAAACACAAAGCTGATATGTTCATTTCTCTGATCAAGAATTATAGTGGTGCCCCTATTACTTTTCATAAAAGTAGAAGGTCTGGATGTGGAATGGGGACAGAATGGATCTTAACCCTGACTTAAGAACTCCACCGGCCTGTATTTCCTTTTGTTGCTTTCCCTTGGTGACGCACCCTCTCCACCTCTGCAGTGTGGTCTCCTGAGCCCCAAGCAGAGTCCCATCACTACCTCACAACCCTCTCCTCTACCTTTGTATGAGCTCTGAGCTGAGCTCAGGGCCAGCAGGGCCGCTGTCAGTGGGACCACCAGCATCTTGCAGGAGACCCTGGAGCTGCTCTCAAGTCTGTGCTGGGGAAACCAGGAAGATCCCATTATGAGGGGGAGCAGTACAATGGCACCTTCAGCTCCACGCTCTGTGACCTCACAACTAAAATACCAGGATGACATGCATCCCTTGTTTCTGTCTGGGACTACAGCCCTGCAGGATGCGTGGGAAGGAGGTTGTCATTGATTTCTAAAAGTTGCAACGTGTGACTAGGACAGCAGGATTGAAGGAACTTTGTCCAAGCCATAAGCACAGCTAACAGAAATGAAGTTGCATCATTATTTGAGCTGCCATGTGCTTGCCCATGCTGTGCCTTTGTCCTGTCCTCTGCATTTGTATTTGAATTTAGGGCTTGATGTGAACATGTACATTCAGGCCAGCAGAGATCCTGTCACCCTAATTGCCCTGGTCAATAGCTAGGGCTGTAATTATACCAGACACTTCCTGAGCTGTGACCTATGCTCCCCTGTTTGTGTATTCCACCAAAAATGTGATGATATACACTGCATGTCTTCTCAACTTGGGAAAGGGTTAGGAGACTCCACATGGACATATGGGTACTAAAGGTTCACCTCAAAATGCTCAGACTCAAAGATTGTCCAGGATTCCCTGCATCTGGCCCTCATCGGGGAAGCTTTGGTGTCATGGAAACAAATTCCTTACACCAAGTGTTCTTACTAATGTTCTTGGGAGTTACTAAAGGAAAATGACCACAGGTCACCATGCGTCATTACAGATATGCAGACTAATAGCCCCCTGGTGTTTTGTCTAGATATGCCTAGACTCTTCTCTATTCTTTCCTTTTATAGAATGTTTTGCATGAATGGGCTTAGGCATATTACTTTTGGAACCTTGTGAATCACCACCACTGAAAATTGATTGGCCCCTGCTGCAGACAGGCAGGTCTGTGCATGCCCTACTGAGGTCCCAAGTCACGGAGAACATGCAGAATCAGCCCACACCCCAGCAACAATCCACTGGACCCCCACCCCTGCTCCTCTGTACAGCCACCTGGTTCCACACTACAAAGAC